CTACAACTGGGGTTTTAGCAAAAGTTGAAATTTTCATGGAATTTATGGATTTCCCGAACTTTAAACTTTTGCTTATCTGTGCTCAATTTGCATTTTGGTGACTATTCTTGAATCACCCACAAATGGGGTTGTAGTAAAAACTGGAATCTAGGTGGAATTTATGGATCTTCCGTTTCAGTTTTTGAGTTATTTTTTGGTTGTTTTAAGATGTTTACATTTGAGAGACTTTTTTTGCATAAACCACAAGTGCTTTTGTGGCAAAAGTTGGGACTTTCATGAATTTTCTGTGTTTAGTTATTTTTTTGAGCTGTTTTGTGATTAGTTTATGTTGTTGGTTACAGAAATGTTTTGGGTTCTCTATTGATGGATCAACAAACGAAGAGTCTGTAGTGCCAAAGGAATTTCCAGTTTTGATGAGTAATTTGAGTTCTTCAATAGTTGACTTGTTTTTCTTGTCTGAAAAGGGAGGTATCAGCTGGGTTGAGTTTCTAAAGGGCCATATAAAGTGTTCTGGAAGGACAGTTAGTTCAGCTTCACTTAATAGTTTGTTGAGGTTATTTGGGATGGTATCTGTTAAGGCAGGTCTTCCAGAAAAACTACAGATCGTTTCCGATGAGGATGATTGTAAAATCAGCGGATTTTTATTGCCAGTTGATGTTCAGATGCTTCTTTCTATGTGTTGGATTATGTGGTGGGACTCGAACAAGTTGAAGGCTTCATCTACTTTAGGTGATTCTGGTCTTCCTGATGTTACACATTTGGTTTTGTCAGCTATAAACTCTTGTGCCGAAGCAGATAAAAAAATGGATTTATGGGATAACAGCATTTTAGATATGGATATACAACTTCCTGTTGCAAAAATTATAATGTGGGCTTTGAAGACAGTGCCAAGCCTCTCCGATTGCTTTGGAAAATTTGTCCACGCTAGACTGTTTTACGTAGCCGCTCACGAGGTACTCCCATTTTCAATTTAAAAATTGAAGGATGTGTCTTGTATTGATTGATTCTTTTGATATCATAAAGGCAATGTGCATTAAAAAACTGAGTAAAGTAGGTGTTTCAATATGTCCAAAGGGTGTCATGAGACTAATTCTTGTGGGCAAAGAGAAAAATGTCGTAATCCCTCCGTCTAAATTTATGTCGAAGTGTTTGACTGGGCGCAAATTTTAAGAATGAAAAGGAACCCTTTTGAAACTTGTGGTTCAAAATAATTTATAGATATTTGTGCAATTATAAATCATCTTATTCGGGGTAAAATGAGTAGTTCAAATTTAAGTTGCTACTAAATATAGAAAGCTGTCATCTTTTTTAGACGGACTAAAAAGGATAGTCTCATATAAATTGAGACAACAGAGGGAGTAGCATATATCCTTCATGAAAGAACAATTGACCCATGAGTCCTTCAGTTTTCACCATGAAGTTTCTGCCCGTTAACATGCTTGATAAGCTAGTCTTTCTTAGAAGTGAGTTACTAAATATTTGAAATTGGTGTTGTTACCCAATGGTTACTAGTCAATACGAGTCTTCTGAAATAACAAGAGTAATTCTTTCTGTTATCAAAGGGTGCCATGTACTTGATGCTTCCCTTTGTTGAGGTAATGGTTAGTTCTCTAAGTTCAGTCAGCAACAACAACATACCGAGTGAAATCCCATGAGTGAAATCTGGGGAAGTTAGAATGCACGCAGACCTTACTACTACCTCGTGGAGGTAGAGAGGCTGTTTTCAAAAGATCCTCGGCTCAAGTGCAACAAATCCAGGTACAAAGAAGGAGACAGTGAAGAGAATACTACAAGTAATAAGGTAACAGTGCAAAGTCTACCAAAAACAACAATACAATAATGTGATAGTCGAAACTACTTAACAACAAACTAGGATACTATACAGATTTCTAAGTTCAGTCGGTTGCAATATTTCTGCCGTGCTTTTAAGCCTTTCATATCTAATTGAAGAAATGATAAGTTTGTTTGCTGGTTGCAATGATTTAACTGAAGGAGTCTTCCATCATGTTTACTACTTTGCAATTTAATTCTAATCATTTGTCCTCCATTTTCAATTTTTGCATCTCTTGTTTTTTCTCACTGTTAGTTTCAGGACTTGGTTCCGGGTGGGGGGCAGAACGAAAAGAAAGAACGTAAACCATAGTCTTGAGGTCTACATTTGCTTTTTCTATATTTACTAGGAAAAAAACATACATCTAGTGCGAGTAGTTTTTCAATTTTTAAGTTCTTTCTCATGAGATTACATCTGTGCATGTTGTGCCTCATGTAGTTTTCTCGCATGCGAAGAGAACCTCTGTAATGTAGAATTGGCGTGGATTTCACTGAATCCTTTTTTTGGGTACAAAGGTCTAGACATTTTTATGCACATCATAGCAGTTTCGTGGTTCTCATCTGAACAAAATAGTTTACTTTAAACAACAGCTTCTACGCTTTAGTCCCAAACAAATTGGGATCAGCTACATGAATCCTCATTTCTTCGTTTAAGCTCATATCATCAACTACTACTACTCTTTGTATGTTATATATTTTTGTCTTGCATCACTACCATAAGGTCAACTCAATATTTCTCATCTTCTGAAAATCCCTAATTCTATTGGGTGTTCTGTAACATCTATTTATCACCTTTTTGAATCTCTCAAGACTAATATGTCTTCCACTTCGGGACCATGTCTTTGATATATAAAGACAATGGTAGAAGAATGGAGGGAAAAAAACAAGTGAACTACCAACACACAGCACCTTTCTTATCTCTCAGGGCTATCCTTAAAGCTTGTTGTCCAAGTAGAACTCTAGTTTGAGTTTGACATCTTACTATAACCCTTAGCCGGATTTTTATTGGAGTTCCAAGTGCTTCATATTCTGGCGGATTATTGTTGTTGTCTTTCTGATAAAAGGCGAAGATAAGCAGTTATGCAAGTTTGACAGTTGTTATTTGTTGCCCGTGATGCCATACTATATGAACACTTACTGCACTGTGATCAAGAAATTAGAATTCTGCAATCACCAACTCTGAAGTTGAATTGATAGCAGGAAAAACTTGACCAAGCGGACCTTTTCTCACATGATATTTCTGCAAAGGAAAGGAGCGTTGGCCATCTCCTTAATTCTGGAAGGGCTTGGGCTATCTCACTTACATTGAGGGGCAATTTAAGTGAAGAAATTTCAAAAGTATGCTTTCCAAGTGCTGCAGAGGAAGTAGATGATTACCTACTTTATCGGTTAGTACATGGTTTATGTCGACTATTAGTCGAACTCTCTGAATTTCTTGTATTGCTTTCTATCTTTCTGAATTGATTTTCATTTTTCTCCCACCTACAGGTCTTCCCTTCATGGAAAAGGTCTGAACAGATTCTGGTCAAATATTGAAGGATATAATGCTCCATTGCTAATTCTTATCTCTGCTCATGAGGCCAATAATGACGCAAGGAGATGGACTATTGGTTCTCTCATTCATCAGGGTTTAGAAAATCATGACACTTTCTATGGGACTTCTGGTAGTTTATACTCCATCAGTCCAGTTTTTCATGTATTCACACCTTCAGGTAGTGTATCTGGTCTTACCAGCTTGGATAGTTCTACATGAATGATGTGCCTAAGGCTAATGTATGTTCTTTGACAGGAAAGGAGAAAAACTTTGTTTACAGCCATTTGCATGGAACCGTTAAATATGAAGCTCATCCAAAGCCTGTCGGACTTGCTTTTGGAGGATCCTCTGGCAATGAAAGAATATTTGTAGATGAAGATTTTGCTAAAGTTATAGTTCGTCATCATGCTTGTGACAAAACTTACCATCATGGTCCTCTTTACCCTGACCAGGTATAGTAGATGAGTCATATGGTAGAGGTGTGAAAATACTTCGCGTATCGATAGTTGTATAGACTTCCTGCATATTGTTTGTTCCCCTTCATGCCTCTGTTAGTCAAACAACGCTTTCACTCTTTGACCAAAAAGAAGTTGCTCTTGGCATTTAATTGATTTTATTTGTAACTGCGATAAATTTGGAAAACTAGCTTAGAGTCTGCAGCACATGGATCCGATAAAAACACAAATCAACATATCCACTCTTTAGTTTGCATACATTTGTTAATATACTTGTGACTTGATTAGCATTAGCTACTAACTTTTATTTCTTGTATAAGTACCAAGGAAAAATGCCTTCTGTATAAATGATAATACTTCAATTGCTGACCATTGCTCTTCAGAAGTTCTTGTTGTTTCTCTTCTGAAGTTCTCAATCATCTCAATGCCATATTCAGGGGTTCTTACCGGTTGAAGCTCTGATTATGGACGTGGAGGTATTGGGATTGGGAGGAAAAAGGGCTAGAGATATTCAGTCATCGTACAAAAAGAGGGAAGAACTCTTTACTGAGCAAAGACGAAAGGTAATACAACTTCAGTGGACATTATTCATTGTTTCATCATGTTATCAGCAGCATGATAAAGTAAATTTTTTTTTCCTTAATATTATCTGCAGGTTGACTTGAAAACATTTGGAAATTGGGAAGATTCCCCCGAGAAAATGATGATGGATATGGTTTCTGACCCTAACAGAGTTCGTAGAGAAGATCGATGAGTTGATTCTTCCCTAGAAGAGATTTCACACGATCCAGGACTTCTATCTTAATGTATATATAAGGAGATGTTGGAGTTTTATGTGCTACTACACTTTGAATAAGATTTGTATGTTTGGCTATATAAGTCTGTATTTCACCCACTCTCTGTTATCTGTTGTGTCAAAAGTGAGTTTATATAGTACACAAACATAATGCATATTATGTATAAGATGTATACTAGATTTGAGATGCTCTGGTTGGTCAAATATTATCCATCATCTATGATTTTTATACAATCCTCACTCAATTAATACTGCTATAGTTGGAACAGTTTGCGTAGAGTAATACTACTTGTTTTTTTTCCAGAATATCAATTACTTTGAAACAAATATGGCTTTGCCAGAAAAAAGCACATACCAGTCACTGTTTACTTCTCAGACAAGAGTATTAGAGTCGATTCCAAAATGAGATCAAACGTTTTGGAAGGGAATTTTATTCTTTTGCAAGGATTGGAGAAATGAGGATTGGGAAGACATTTCAAAGTCTCACAATACAAAAGGATAGCAAATTCATCATCTAGTACAAATATAATGTTCTTGTTAACATAAATGCCACAAAAAACTAGCTTTGCCCCTAGTTGAAGACTCATCTCTCTGGAATGTCATATAGCTGATCTAACGCTGAAAAAATGCCCCGATGAGAAGCTAGGTGTGAGTAGCTTCGACTATTGCTTCTTCTCTTCTGCTTTCTTTGGCTGAAAATTTGTAGAGAAATACAGTTAGAAGACTAACCAAATGAATAATTAGGAATAATGAAGTTTTACATAGACGACACGCTTGTTGGTACAAGTAGCTAGTGATCTATCTATAAACTAGCTAACAGTTTCAACAAGTTCTCAAACCTAAGCAGCACCAATGCAGAACAAGATTGTGGTCAACAACGAATAATTTCAAAGTTCTTGGGCAGTAGAACATTCTACGTACTAGAAATAATTTACTAGGAAAAGTAACTTCTTTCTGAAAAGGAGCAAGGATAAGAGAGATTCATGACTTATATCTCTGGGAGAAAGAAATGCATATGCATATGATTCCAAAATGTCAAGATCTCTTTCATATTCAAATCGAAGAAGAATAGATTTTCCGGGACAAGCAAAACAGGGGGGAAAAGGTGAAAACGAGAAGGGAACAGGAAGAGAGATATAGGAAATTAAACACACTTTAGGCTAGCTTGTAGGGCATGTTGAAGACCTAAAAGCAATTGATAGGGCTGTCTGAGCTTAATTTGTTCGACATCTAAAAGCACAGATCTCTAACACTTCCGATCGCCTTGTCCTTCACAACTATTGTCTTCTACACAGTAACTTTCCCTTTTGGGGAGGGGGGGGGGGTGGAGAGACCTCAGGTAACTTAGCCCTAATCAATCACTTTATGTACATAATAAAGAAGTTCATTTTATTAGTACTCCTAGACTACATTACCTTCCTAGACTAATAACTAGCAATTAATCTTGAAGCATACCAACACGAGTGACTCTTCAGTGGCAACCAAATCAGTATCAACTATCAACTACAAAGAAATATATTCTTGCTCTTATCGATGGTCCGGTTAAAAATAGAAAGTTCCTCAAAGTCTCTTATACAATTAATCTTACATAGTCTTTCCAAGGGTCTGATATCAAGGCACACAGCTCCTCAAAACGACTACATTATCTGTAGAAAGTAATAAGTGAGACAAAAACTGCTTTATCGCAGCACCTTTAATCACAACTCTGTACATCGTCTAGATTCCACTGATCTTTTTGGGATAACTGACTAATGAAATTTTAGATCCATCAAACTGATGTCTTATGAAAACCTAAATGATACATATTGACAACTAGAAAGGCAAAAACCTTAATGCAACTCCTTTCATGATATAAAGATCCCTTCTTTATGATAGTGGGCTACTCTCCGCATGATAAACATACTCTCAGCTATCTAAGAATTGTCTCGTGTATCATTTTTAAGAAACACAAACACAAAGCAACACATTGGCATATAGAAGAACTGGTAAATGCAACATTTAGCTTCTAAAATCAAGGAGAGAAAGTATTTCAAGAATGTTAACCTGTTATAATATTCACCAAACAAATATTAACATGTTATTCTTTCTCAACAAATTATTACGTGAGGGTTCTTAAAACATAATCATATGCATACAATTAGGTAAATTGATAGCCACTAACTACTACAAGAGAGCATCTTACTGTTCTACTCAAGTTCATGCGAATTGAAGGAGTTTTCATTAGTTTTCATGTTTTAGTTGATAACAATAGGCAGTACAGATGCTAACAAACCCAGAAACACGGATTCGTTAAAAATTAGCAAACAAAAGTTCCAAGACTTTGAAAATAGATCATCAGATAAGAGCTCAATCAGGACGGGATATACAAAATAGCAAATAAGGGTGCCCCGGATACAGGACGAGCTACAATATAGTAACAATAATCATGAATGTGTTACACCTCCAGCATAACAAGAGAGTTCTCATTTCATCATCCAATTTAGACAGTCCAGTTGTAGAGGATCACAAACAAACTATATCATCCTTGGAGAAGCATATCTATACAAAGAGCTACAAATTTCAGAAAATTATAGAAAGATGATAATCTTCTCTCCCCCTCTTGAGGGCAGAGTTAGGGGTGCAAGCACTTGAAAATTAAACTACATACATACACAAGGCCAAAATTATATATTTTTGATTCATTTGGTTTCTTTGTGTGTTTACTTTGATATATTTTGAATCACCTTATTGAAAATCCCGACTCCGCTACTGCACTAACATTCTCAACCCCAATCCGGGGACACAAATCAAACTAAAAGAAAAAACATAAGTAGGTACACTCAACCTGTTCGACAATATGCCTCAACCAAATCACAACAAAAACCCACATACAATCAATGGAAAAGGGAAAAAGCTATCACCTTTATTCCAAGAAATGGTTGTTTAAGCTCTTCATCAGGAATAATAACAGGCCATTTCTCACCAGCTTCACGAAACATCTGTTCAGTCTCAAGGTACTGACCCTTTTCAAGAATCATAGTACGGATGTTCTGTGCGGGTGTAGAAGTAGCATCATAGGTCTGCTCGACTCCATTGACGAAAGTGACAGAGATTTGCGGTGGATGGTCATCAGTGCGGCGCTTGACCTGAATTTGGCAACTTGGGTTTGATTCTTTGGCTTTAGGAGCATTACATTGAGCCAAAAATTCCATACATGAAGCTATTCGTGGATCTAAGGCATTGAATTCGATTTTCACTTTTGACAAGAATTTCAACATTTTCTCTTTTGGCTACACTGGTTTCTGCTTCCCCTCTCTTTTGAGTTTTGAGTATATATTTGGATTTTATTTTTAAGTGGCCAATAAAAAGTATTTACATTTAATTTTTAAGTAATTGTGCAAGTATAAAAAACCTTTTTTTTTTCTTTTTGGTAATTAAACAATTCTATTATTCCTTCCCTGATAAGTTTATGCAGCTTTTTATGTTTAGTAGTGATCAAACATTCAAAGACAATTCTTTTCAAGTGTTTTATTCCGTGTATATTATTTCATTGAAATGACTTCCATAATTATTTTTGTCTTTGTTTTAGTTTTATTTTAATTCTGTTATAAAAAGAATGTGTCTTTCCTTTTTCGATAACTCTTTAATGTTAACTTTTTATATTCACCGTATGATATGTTTAAAACTATAAAATTAGAGTGTTTCAAAAGAGATTCTTGGGAAGTATATTGGTTAGCTTTGATAACCTTCTGTATCACCCAAGATGCCTTTCTAGATAAAGCTTCTCAGACTTATATACCATTTCCATCATATAAATGTACCTATTGAACCCTCAGTTTATTCTGCTTCTTACATAGTTCTCCAGCTGACTTGGGTAAATTTGAAGGCAATTTTCACATAATACACAAAAGAATCAAATGAACTTAGATGCCATAGTGGGGGAGGGGGGTTGACAACACCTACAGCTGAAAGCAACTCTTCCAAACTTCTCATTAGCAGTCAGAAAAATACATCAGCCAGAAAAGCACACAATATTATAAAGATACACACAAAGGTGATGTAAAGGAAAAAGAAGAACAAGCATCTCAAACAAAATCCTTGAAAAAGAAAAGGGGGTTTGAGTAGGCATGAGAAAATAGTAAATTTACAAGAAAAATAGCTCTTTCTACATTTCTCTTCACAAATAAATAATGGCCCAGGGTATAGCTTTGCTGTGGAGTTCCTAAGAACAGATGTCAAGCACCCAAAGGAATTGCCAATAAGCCACAGAGCTCTACTCATCTCTGCCATTTCCTCTCTGAAAAACACACATCAGACACCAACAAAATATTACATATGAGAATTCAAAGCTCAGAATTGGAAGAAGAAGAAGAAGAAAAAAGTTAGCCCAACGGTTAAAGAACCATGGTGCCCCACAATTGTCATCATAAATTGTCAGTGAATTTCATCCTTTTGAAGCTTAATGCCAGTGCAAACTGCCAAAATTTGCATGAAAAAGCTCAAGGATAAGCGGATCTCTAGGGGACACACATGCATGGTTCACAATCAACAATTTTGGTGTCGATTGAAGTAGTGTAGTTAAGCAGTCTAAATATAACATAGTAATAGTAGTTAAAAGAAACAAAATGCAAGGGGAAGAATAAGTGTCAGGTGATCGACGTGTGAATAAACAGTGCTGCAATTGACGTACATGCCAGATTCAAAAAGGGAGTTGATACCATTTGTTAGTGCTTAAAACACTAAGGTTTTTTGCTCATCTAAATCATTGTGATACTATATCAGCACAGTTTTAATAGTTTCAGGTGACTAGACTGTGAATAACATACTTGATCCTATCTCGATTTTATCATTGGGGGAAAGGACGTACTAGGCAGGAAATGAGTTGGAGTACCGGGTCATAACTCCACTCAGAAACTCAAGTAGTTCTCTCATTGCAGTAATCAATAGTAATAGATTGTATACAAGGCATCTGAAGGTTTAGAAAATACCTTGTGGAGATTGAGTTCCATTTCCCTTTGCACCCTGCTGTGCATTAGACAGAGACCGCTGGATACGAGGTGAACCTTGCCTACCATTTGAACCAGGGAGTGAATGTCTCTTTTTGATGTATTCATCTTTATTGTGGACATCTGGACTAGATCTTGGGGAGCTATTTGGGATAGCTTTGGCTCTTGCAGATTCTGTTGCTTGCATGTAACTTGGGAGAGAACTGCTAGTACTGTTATCTCTAGCCTCCTGATCAGCTAGTCCAGCTTTTGTTGAACCAAACGAGTTTCGTCGCTTCTCATTTTTATGATCCTTAGATAATTGTTCCGAACTAGTTGTACCTGGAGCATGGTTTAACTTTGAAGGAGACTTTTTGCCAGCAGGTGCAGAGCGGCGCTTGGGAATCGATCCACTTTTTTCACTTCTTATCTTCTTAGGATTCACGGACACTTGACTAGAAGGTGTCCCTTGGGATTCAGGGACAGTTATATGGCTCCTTGGAGATGCGTCTGGTGATGACTTGTCTAGCCGATCCGTCCTAGCTTCTTGCTCTATTTGAACATTAACTGAATTGTTCTCTGGCTTCTGCTCTACGGGTGATAGATCTGAACTGACCATAACATCTACATGCTTAGCATCATCAGTAGGATCCTCTCTCCCTGCCTGAACATAGTCGGAGTGTGATAAGTCATTTGTACTATCATCTTCAATGTGAGGGTATCCATTGCTCTTATGATGGTCAGTGCCACCATTGGAAGGAAGTTCCTGCTCAAATACATGACCTCCGACTTCAGACCTATCTGGTGAATCCAGGGTAGAAGAAATAGAAAGCTCCGTGCCACATTCTGAACCACCAACTTGAGCTCTTGTACTGTGAGGAACAGAATTTTCTGATGGAGCAGCATCCCTTGCCCCAAATGAATGATTAGTGATAGTTGAAAACGTATCTTCACTAGATTCATCTTCTGTTTTATGATTGGGCAAACTAGAATCTTTGGTTGATTTAGCTGCCAAAGTGAGTTCCTCAAACTTTGTCTGAGCAGCAATAAATGCAGGATTACTTGCCTTCCTTGATCCATGTAAAATCTTTTTGCTCTCAGTCTCTGAAAGTTCCAGGGAATGTGTATCCTCTCTCTCAACTTCAGTGTTTGCAGGGAAAGAATTGGGCACCGTCTCAGGGAGAGCCTTGGCCTCCTTATGTTGAGTAGGAATAGAACAGAAAGTGTCATCTCTTGAAGTTTTTTCATCAACATTCTGAGGCTGAGGAGGCGAAAAGGGTATGTTGGCTTGAAAATCTAAGCTGTCTGCATCATAAGTGATCAAATTATCATCACTTTCAGATGGCACTGCAGACAAGGATGCCTCCTCGCCCTGTCTGAAGTCCATTGACTCGGAATCAAGCTGAACTTCATTTTCAATAAGGTTACTGGGGTGCTCGATAGGTTCATTCTCCTGCTGATCGGCAGATAATTCTGATTGTGGTGACGGTTGATTTCCTGGTGATGCAACAGACATCCATCTCTCTAACCATTTCCAGGCAGAATCAGATTTGGAAGGGTCACACTTAATATTTATACTTTTGGTCCTTGGAGTTGATTCAAGGAGCTTGTACCAAAGGAGAAATAACAAATCAGTTTGGATGGGAAATGATACATATTTAAAAAAATATCGCATATTTCAGATCATATAGCGGAAAATGACTAATATATACCTGTTGAGCGAAGCTATTGCTCAGTAGCTTTGAAATTGAAATGTATGTGAACTCTGATTTTGTTCCTGAGTTCTCTTTTCCCTGAAATAAAGAAACATAAGAAATGTGACTCCATCAGTTGAAATAGCTAAGAGTGTGTTAGTGTCTGATCTAGGATTCCAAAGCGAGGAGACCAGAATCATTCCAATTTATGCTTGAGACAGAAATATTGCCAATATAGTTTCATACTCTTGATCTTTCCAATACTTACTTTTAGCTTCTCCTTGATACTAGATTCTTCTGCAATGCGATTAGTGTGACGTGCTCGAACAAGAATTTGCATTTTGACAATAGCTTGGACACATCGCAGAGTTCCTACAGCTTGCCTACGAACTAAGTGTCCACGTACAGCAGCTTGCAATTTAGTTATATGCTTTTGCTTTAATTGAGCTCTTCGTGCCTAGGAGAAGAAACAATCAAATACAAATTAACTTTATAATTGCCAAAACCTTTAACCATAAAATGGTCAAATTAATTGAAAGAATATATAACAAAATTGAGGTACCAGAAATGCTCTGACTGCAGTCTGAATAACAAGAGCGTGTTCATCCGGAATGACATCAGCTTTAGCATCATTAAATCCAGCTATTATTACTGACTCTGATTGTTTTGCATCCACCAAGTCTGAGACCAGGGATTTCTCTTCTGATGAGATAGGAGGCTTCTCATCTATAGAGATGTTGGGCTTCTCATCTTCGGAGACCTCGAGCTTCTCTTCTTCGGATATCAAGGGCTTTTCATCCACTGAGACCTCCACCGAGAGCTGGGGCTTCGCGTCTGTGGAGACACGGGGCTTCTCATCCGCTGAGACCTGGGGCTTCTTATCCACAGAGACTAGGGGCGTCTCATCCTCCAGGATCTGGGGCTTCTCGTCTGCCGAGACCTGGGACTTCTCGACCGTTGAAAACTGGGGTTTCTCATCTGCCCATTGGACGACAGATGCCTTCTCTGGAATGGTAGAGTTAGATTGTGTTTGCAGATTGGCATTAGCAGCTTCTGGCCAGTCCTTGTTCCCAGATGGTGTTTCTGAAACTACTGAATTGCTTAATACACGATGCCTGGTAGATTTCTTGCGGAAACTCCATCCACGTTTATCACTTGAGCTTTTACTCTAGGAAAATGTATCAAATAATTCATTCAACAAAGAATAGAGGAGGAAAAGGCAAAAGATAAATTCCGAAAAGATATTTAACTGAACATCCAATCTGATATAAAGTTGTATTGCTAGTAGCTGAGTTTAACATCCACCCACAGGTACATCCATTTCTCTTTTTACCCATGAAGTAGAAGTACAAAGAGGGAACCTTTATTAGATCCATACTATGGACCACGGCGGACAAGGGAGGACGGTGTGCAGATTGTAGATTGAACATTTCTGGAATCATGTAACAAGCATACATAGACGAGTCATGATGCATATAGTAGGAACTGAATCCATTGACAACAAGATCTTCTTTATCACATCTATTCACTTTTGATACAAATGATGATTTCTTTTCTGCCAACCCCTTAACCTCCCATGAAGAGACCATAGATAAAGAAATGAAATCATACACAAGCTTGTCTTCTTAATCATGTTTCATTACATGTATGTCAACGGACTGGTACTTCATTTGTTTTTCCATACTTATGCATTCCACCAATCAGGTAGTAGGTAATGTGAAGTCTCATAGCTGGAATTATCAGCTCAACTTATATTGCAAACTACACCAGAAGCAAGGCCATAATGATGTAAGAAGGAAGACAACATATATTTGGCATACACCATTTGGAAACAAGTAGTGCTTGCATCAGAGTATCATGTCGATGTCATCATAAAAAATTAACTTGATGTTGAAGTATTGCAAACTCAACTTGAAAAGAGAACTAGATGTTATCTAAACTTACACTGTAAATTGAGAAGACATTGCTAAGAACAAGTACAGCTCAATTAATGAAACTACATTTTTGTCAAACACTGAAAGCCAAGTATGGTATTTTAAGATGAGGCGACGTTGATTAATTGAATGGTACAGAAATTGAAAGGCTTCACTAGCATTTACCTTATGACAACACATCCCTAATTGACGGTCACAAATCGAATCAATTTTCGTTTCTTGGTAAATTGCATCACTATTTTCCCGTTCCCCTCTAACCAAAAGAAAGCCACTTACAATAGTGATCCATTTCATTTCCATTTTAAAACACATTGAATCCATACAGTTCACATCTTCATGGTGTAAAATGTAACTGGTTTTATATCAACTGACCAAAATCAAGCCTTCCTTGGAATTGGCAATTACTTAACTAACAAACATGAAAAATTGAACTATTTAATATCTTAAACACTCTCATTTAACATTGACGTAAAATACATCTAACAAGTTCTCAACCAAACCATTCCACAATCTTACATCCCCTAATAGAGATCCAGTCACAAAGTTCAAAAGTTCCCTACATACCTTCCACAAAAAAAAAAAAAAAAAAGAACTCCTTTATTCAAGAACCAAATCAGCTCAACTCCATCATCTCAAAAACTTATCAAATTAGTAGAAACAAAACCCCCCCACAAAAGATCAGACTCCATACTTTGATGGGTTGATCCAAGATTCACTTCAAAACCATTATCTCACAAAAAAGATTCAATTTTTATCACACATTACCATCTTTGAAATGCAAAAAGAAAAATAAAATACTACATGAAAATTTGATCTGATAAAAATGGGTGTAGATTTTTCACCTCAGGATGAGCTTCAAGTTCATCACGGTCAACAGAATCACTGCCACAAGCAATGATCTTTAAGCAAGAAGAAGCTGTAGATTTTCCCATTTTCTTCTTCTTCTTTCACTCACTGATTGACCAATCTTGTTAAGTGTTGTAGTAGATATTCTATATTTGTTGGAAATTGTACCTCATGAGCTGATAATAAAAATTAAAAAAATTAAAAGTAAAAAAAAAAATAAAAAAAATAAAGAAGACGGACTTGAAACACTCTCCTAAAATCTAGCTAAATTTTGTATTTTGAGTTCCGTGGCTTCAGTTTTTCTTTTTTTTACAGGTCCCAGTAGTCTCTTTATATTATAAAAAAAAAAAAAAGAAAATTAAAGAAAAAGATATATCAATAATTAATAATATATTTCCGTTATGACTTGAAGACAAAAATTATCCTATTTAAAAATTAAAGTTCAGATCTGTTCTCCTCTTTTACTATTATTCATTCGATATTATTAATAATAATATAGTCAGTATAATCTCGTAGAATAGAATGAGAGTAGAATATATATATCTTACGAATAAAATTATGCATAAATATTACTCTTATTTAAAAAATAAATGAATTGTTTTTGAAAAAAAAAGTTTAAATAATTCGAAAAAGTAATAAAAATATAAGAAATAACAGTAGTTATAAAAATTGAAAGATAAACAAAAACAATATTACGATTATTGATAAGATGAACAAATCAATAAGATAAAACATTATTACCTACTAATATTCTATCAGTCTTCTATCTAAAAATTATGTTCCGGATAAGTTTATATATATTTATTCATGCTTAACTAAATTTAAATTTATACCGTGATATTTATATTTTAAAGTAAAAAACTATTTAAAGCAAGTTTAAGCTAAAAAAATTTAATTAAAATAAAAAATATTTATCACTCTATTATATTCCTCGTTCCGTCGATAAGCGGCTTTTTTCATTCCATTCTCTCTGTAACCTCTACTATTGACTTGAAAATGACTTTTTCTTTTATTACTATTATTATGTACTATACTATATTAAATAAATAAATTTCTAGTTCGGAAAGAAATCAATGTAAAATACAGTTGAGTAAATTAAAAAGGAAGACAAAAAGAGAAATTAATAAATGAAAACAATTAAAAAAAATCTTTAATTACGCAAAAAGTATTTGAAAATTCAAAAGTAGTTCACCAATATCTTGTTCAACTAATAATCACAAGAAATGACATTAACTATAATCTATCTATTTATTATTTCTTTTCTACAAAATGACTATTTTTTAATCTTTTAGCATAATATATATTCTTTCATCTAATGACTTTTTAAGGTAGTTTTATCTTTTACCTTTATCTTTACTTTTAAAATCTTACTCTACAAAACAGATAAATATTTACTTGCATTCAATATTCATATTAAATTACATTAATTTCATATAACTAAATAAGATAAATATATATATTTAAGTAATTTCAGTTTTAAGTGAAATACATGCTCACACAAAAATTCAAGTTTTAAGTAACATTTTTTTATTTTGATATTAACTTTTTAATCAAAAACTATAATCTAAAGAAGATAATGATGATTATAGTTGGTGTGTTGTGTAGATTATCATTATAAATAGTCGTTAACTGACATTGACCAAAGATGGGATCAATTAAACCAAAATCTTAATGATGGATTAGTGTAAAGTTAATCCATAAGTTAAGATGTTTTTTCCAACACTGAAATCAGAACAAAACAATCGTAACATTAAAGAAAGGTATCTATTTATACTTTAAGAAATTGATGACATTTGTGACTTAGAAGATGCAAAACATTATTCACCGTAGGATAGTTGAGATCTCTCTATCTATATACTTCGCGTTTGAGTTTTATGAACAAAAAAAAAATCTTATTTAGAGTGATATTTTCATAAGTTGATTCTACGAGCATGTATTTGAATAATATGAATACTGAATATCGATTGGATCGTAAAAGAATATATGGTGAGTCCCAACTCCCTATTAGTGGACCATTAGTGGTCCTTGCCTCTTTGATGCTAAAAAAGCTAAGGATAATTTTGGAGATTACAACCTTATTTTTAATGAAAATGACAAAAATGGTCCTTATATTTAAGGTAAGTGTAAGTTAAATCCTAAAATATATTTTGATTTTTCAAACTTTCGAGGGTTTGAAAAAGAGTCGAATCATAAAAATTTATTGAGCATAATTTTATTATTATTTTATCCTAATATCTTAGGATATAATCATTTTTCGCTAAATATATATCCAATTTGTTGTGTTCCTCTTTTAGATATCTTTTATATCGTTATCTTTAAAAATCACAATAAATCATTTATTACGGACTTAGTATATCATATCATATGATATAATAAGAGAGGAACATAAAATTTAATAGTAGCGGTGACACCGTTAGAATCTCAGTCTATAAGAAAATGTTATTACAAAAAGGTTTGAATGTACTTTACGCAACGATGATTGCCTTTTTCAAATATATTTCAAAATGACGTTAATTTTTATGTTATTACTTTAAACTTTATACTATATTAAAATATTTGATATCTTCGAAATAAGAAGCATCCTATTTAAAAAGATATCTTACAACTTTCATTAATGTAACATTAATTAAGTATCGACATGAGTTATGATATAGTGGTAAAATTATTTCAACCTTAATAAGATACTTTTTTGAGTTCGAATTCTGAATATGAATGAAAATAATGTTAGAAATTGGAAGAACGAGTTATCTCCTTACATTCGTAGAATCTTCTTTGTCGATTAACTTTTGAGGTTAAATTAGGTTAGAAGTTCATTTTTCCGAGTTGTTGACAGGTGTCGTGTCCTCATTGGGTATGGTTTTCGGACAGGTTACCCGACACATGCGGAGCACATGAGAAGAACCTCCGACCCGTTTTCTTACAACTGACAGCGCATGCCAATCGGTGAATTTATTTTTTTAAAAAATATATATTTTTAATATATTTTGCATGTGAGATTCAAATAATTTACATGTTGATGAGATTTATTTAATCAAAATGATTAACGGATAATTCACATATAAAAAAAATACATATTGGTCTTATCGATAACCAATAAACACAAGTTTCGTGAGTTGTAATTCATTGATTACCCAATTTAAAACGTAAAACTATACAATAAATAAATATATATTTTCTTCATTTTATACTATTCGACCTTAGTGGTTTGAATTTAAATTTTCAATTAGAGAGATTATAAATCCAAAGAATTAACCACATAAATTCTTTGAATGAACTTTTAAAATCTACTGTATATATAAATTTAATTTTAATCATATTTTCCGTCGAAAGTTTGAATGAACCCAAATCAGAAGTTGATCCCGGCCTTACTTAAATCATGTTGACTTGATACAGTTCTTAATTTTTTTTTTAATAAAGGTCTTTATACAATTAAAATAATCGTAATGACATTTTGAAACGGTAAAAATTACATTTTAGTATAGTTATTTAGTATTAGGAACACAAAGAAAAAATATAATAAATTTTTTAATTTTTAAATTCAGATAAGTAAAATAAAATATCTAATTTTAATACAAAAGTCAAATAATATGAAACGAGTAAATAGTAAATGAAATATTATACTAATTTATTTTTTTCTCAAAGTAGAAAAAATGCCATCAATTAATAAAATAATTAAAGTCCTGTTGTACATTATAAACACGTAATACATTTGACTTTTTTGTCTATAAGTTTTTAAAATAAAAATGAAAGAGAAAAATGTGATTGACTATAATTATTTTGTGCTCAACTAGTTTATCCTCTCAATTATTTTAAAAACTGTTAAGTACGTAAGTACTAATTTTAGAAAATAATAAAACAATTATTAAGTTTAGACAGGGACTACTACGTTAAAGATCCAATTAGAATAATCCAACAAAATATAGGGGGAAAAAAAATCATCAAATAGATTATGCTGTCTCTTTTTCCCTACACCTAAGTTTAGTGTAAAAGCATAATCTATTTCAGAAATAATTATATTTAGGTAACACAATAAAGTAACTTGTCTTTTTGTCACCAAATAGATGAGGCTAATTGATTGCAACAATTAGTCAATTAAAAGTAGTTAAGAGAATTGATCTTCGAACATGCTTCAACTAAAACGATTAGTTAGTTTTTGAGGTGAGAATTTTCAATAAGTCATATAAAAGGATAACGTTATATTTTTTCAGTTAATTGAAAGATCGATAAACGTAGTAGGTGAGAGTCCAGGTAAATCAAGATTATTGATGAGTATAGTTGTGCTTCCATGTTAAGAAAAAGAATCTTGGACATAAAATAACCTAACCGCTAGTTTATAAGATAAAAATTATCGTAAATCACATAAAATAGCAATCGTTCATTCCCTTAATTAATGTGAAACTAACAAATCAAGACACATACACAAGGTCACAGTACAAGACGACTGTCTATTAAGTTTGAGAAAATAAGAATAATTGAGATCCTACTTATAGAATTACACTGACTTTATAAGAATTATCGTCGTTGTTGTAAGGTATCAAAGTATAACTAAGCCTATCTACAACAATCATTTGCTAAACGAACATTTCACTAATAACAATCGAGATTTCTTTGGAATCATATTTTATTCTAACAACCAAAGTTTCCGAACAAACAACGTTGGATTTAATAAAAGGAAGGACCAAGTAAAAAATAATGGATATGTGGGGTTCAAACCCTACCAAAGATTCCTCCTTTATTCTACCTTCTCCTCCATTATTCACAAACACAACTCAAATAATAAAAAACTTTCAATATTTAGTTTTAGCTTTGATTGTTCCTTCAAGATTTTAATTAGGTTTAGTGATACTTTCAGGTCCCATTCACCTTATATAGCAAACTACAATGGAAATTGACTAAAAGATTCTAAGGGAAAAATGAAGCTTACTTTGAAAGCATAAATTTCATTATTAAAACTTCACAAACTTACTTTAAAGTTGAGAAACAAAAGAGGGCAAGTCACATTTAGGTACCAACAATAGAAGACAAAGTTTCCACACACAAATATGCAACTTTTTACTTGTATAAAAATGGGTGGTGGGACCTTAGGCACATGGAGAAAAGTTCCAATCATTATACTTAACACAAATGTAACCTCCTAAACCTTCTCATTCTTCTTTAGTCCTTCTCACTTGTTGCTCTGTAAAATCATCATCAAAAGAAAAACACTATGTTCCCAAGAGAACAATAACCCCACCACAAACCTTTTTCATAATGTTCTATTGTACACCTACAAGTTGATTTCATCAACAAGGAGGTTTACATAGTAACAATAACAAGAGGTTATCATGAAACTCAAAATTCTAAGCAAATCACCTTTGCACAAGAGTCGTGCTAATCCACGATCCAGGGAGAGGGGGAAGGTTACTAAGTACTTAGATCTAAGATTTAGACATAAAAACTTAAATTCCCTTCATTTTCTTTACTATATCAGGCCCCCACATTTGTTCCCTACAAAGGGAAAAGTCACCTCTAACTTTCCATAAATGAAAGCAACAAGACATTTGTATTGTAGTTGCTATCTGTTCCATGCTCGACTTTACAAGCAACCACAATTAAAACTGTAGGGATCAAAACACACACAATAACATAGTTATGCACTAAACTGTACTCATTGGAATCACTTCAACTTGTATTACAAGAATTCCTCAGAACTCTTAAGATACAAAGAACATTTTCTGTTTTCTGGTTCTTTTAGCTCATAGACAAACCATCTTTTGTCCATCCAAGTAGACTCCAAACATGCTTATGATATTATAGGAAGATAAATCAATACTCAGCATGATCGTTGTGTAAGTCTCATCATTGATCATCAACAAGGCTAGAACGCAACATTAAAATGATCAACTACAACAAAACATTCTGATAAATACTTCATTTACACAGCAATATTACTAATCAGCATAGATTTTCAGAACAAATGTGTTTCAGTTGCACCACAAATTAGTAACAAAAATAGAAATCAGAGTACACTGGGCAGAATAGGGTTTTCCTTTCTTTTCCCCTGTTTCCGCTCCTATCCAAAAAACGAGCTTAACTAGGTACAAGCTCGGATAAACACCTGTCTTTTCAGTCAATGATCTATGTCAATACGGGTTACAAGTTACGCAAATGGATTACACTTGCTAAATTTCAGAATGTTGAATGGAGTTAATGACGAAAATTAATTACTTGTTAAAGTGCAACTAATTAGCCAATGGAGAATAAAAATACATTCCATAATATAGAGAGTGCCTTACATTTTGACCAGGAAAGCTGTACTCTTACGATTTCCTCGGCCTTCCCCTTTTACCTGTCGATACTTTCACTTCAGGTGGGGAGCTTTTGTTTGCTGCTGGAGACCGACCCCTTCCTCGACCTGCGCCCTTTTTAGCAGCTGTAGCTTTGCCAGCAGCCTTTCCTCGACCCCTGCCGGAAGACTTGGCCCGCCCATTCGATTGTTCCTCATAGTCATCACTTTCATCATCACTATTTTCCTCTTCCTCATCTTCAGATTCAGATGCATCTTTTGACTTCTTCCGTTTATTTGACTTTGCAGGCGCCTTCGCAGATGCCTTTTTGGTAGTCTTTTTAGAAGCTGGAGATTCACTCACAGGTTCTGCCCCCACTGCAGCAAAGAACAATTTGCAACTATAGTAAGAAAGGTAAATGATTGTAAAATAAATAGGGTTGCATGCCAACTATCTCCTCAGTTCAACAAGAGAAGTATAACCTTTCACCTGTCATGTCCGTGTACAAGGATTTCGATAAAACAAATCGGAAAAATTTGACACAAATTGTTATATTATTTTTTTGACAACACAATTTGTTATATTATTCCAATTTTAAGATTTGTCTTTTAAGAGAAATTAAGACTGTTTTGACACTAGAGCATTTGCAAATCTCAATACTTATCCTCCACCAAAATAATATGTCTCTGACCACAATAGAAAAGAAAAATCCTAATAAACAACCAAACATAAGAAACAACAACTAAGTGATTAATCCAAACTAGTTGGTATTAACAGTTTAACACTAAGATTCCTATTCTTTCATGCAATTAGTTATTAGGCAAGTTAACACTGATTTTGCTAAATTGTAAAATCTTTTTTAAAAAAACCAAACACATGTGATTTCAAGTCTAGCTCATTATTTTCAATTATCATTTTAAATGAAATTCAAGCATATTGTTGCACCTTCAAACTATCATATAGTTGTGCCTGCAGATGATACATCTCGAAGTCTGTAAGACATGGCAAAAGTGTCTCAAGCAAAATTCTCTATGTGTATCCTCTATGTCCAATGATATCAACATCTATGGCATTCATCTCGAGGACATGTGGGCTTTGCAGACCTATATTCACCCCAATACAACATTACTAGCCTCACAACCGTTCTATAAAACTTGACTGTAGCTTGTTAGATGACTTCTATCACAGCACAGTCCTTTAATTTATCCTAATTGTTATATTGCATCTATCACTATATATTCCTAGAAGCCTAAATGTACATATTTGATGTCTGTACTAGGCACCACAAAAACTAATCTAGTTTCACTTCACTTTCACCTAATCATGATATTCTCCTATACTTAGCAACAATTTTTTGTCCTGCACATTAAATCTTCATATATCAAGCTATTGTCCTTGAAATTGAACATATATATATAAATTGTCTGAATGTAGATGTCATATGGACTCTTTGACATATTATTATTTGCAAATAGCATATATAATCAAACCTTATCCTGCATTGTATCGAAAACAGATAAGGACACAAGGACAAAGTAGATGAATTGAACATCATTAACAGACTCCTTGTTCTTTCATCTCCCAAGGAATTAGCAATTCAATGGCTACTTAAGTCAACTGCCCTTGAAGCAAATTCAGAGGAAAACCAGTATATTTTCCAAATGAAATAGTACAATTAGCTAAAACTTATGAAGATAGATGAAGCTTAGACCTATACCTTCCTCAGAAGCCTTGCCATCATATACATCAAGCTGTCAGGTAAAACGGGAGAAATTAGATAACTTACACGAGCAAATAAATACAAATAAAGAAAAATTGAAACTGATGTATGTATCAGCACCCCCAGACACACACCAACACCCATCCACAAACAAATATTACACTCAACCAAAAACCTGTACATATAAACTGAAAAAATCATATTCTAATTCACAAGCAACACTACCTTGTAACCATAACATTACCTGCTCAAGTCGATCCTCAACATTTGTCCTATCAATAACAACCATGGAGTGGGCAAATCCACAAGCAACACTACACAAAAAGGAACGCACTAGGATTCAGACTCTGATGTAAAGTTCCATCTTCCAAAATTTCTTTTTTAAACAGAAATACACTAACCTGATAACATGCATGCCATCTAAAATGTCCACCTTCTTAGGAACTGCAGAAGATCTTTAGAAAAATAGACAAAATAAATGAGCAAAACGCACACAAGTCACCGAAAAGAAAAGTAAAACACAAGATATGAATCAAACCTACTTCTGTCCATGTGGTCCATAACCCAGCTCCCCACACTGTGCAAGGCCCCAACTTATGCAAGAGGAATCAGCACCAACAAAGTGGTGCATATAGCCAGAATCCATACATCGGAGGTTCCACCCACTAGAAATACAGATTATCAGTCATATAGACTTAGCGACCAAAGAAAAAAATATTGTGCTTCTGAAAAGAGAATATCCAGTTTAAAACAATCCAAGCCAATGATTATGGGGGCAGAAACAACAATACATTATTACCATGTGATTGATTTTAAATAACATTCCAACATGAAATATTGAATCTCATAATTAAATACAAGGGTAGAGACTCTCTGCTAGGACTTTGCAATGAAATCACTCCATCACCCCTAGTCACGAGACACAAGGAAAAGAAAATTTGAACTCCATCTTCATATATGTTATTGCAGATGGTTCTAACCAGAAATCTTGGATAAATAATAATTCAACCAAAAAAGTGGAATATATCACACATGCAACTCATGATGTATCTACACTAATACTATATGACCAAAATAAAAAATTGGAGATGCAAATGCTGTAAACATCATAACCTCAAATCCAGAAGAGGTTTGGGATACATCGAATCATCTCCTGTGCTCTTAATTTTTCCCCACATGTAAAGCTGCCCTCCTCCTGCACAAGAATATTTTATTAGAAGTGCCAAGTCATTTGCAATTAGTAGAACGTGACCTCATCATATCTTCATATTACTTGCAGGCTTGCAGCGCAAATTTCAAACATAAATTTACTTCAACAACAACTATATGTCTCAGCCCCAACCAAGTTGAGGTCAGCTATATGAATAATTATCTCCATTTAAGTTCAAACTGATGTCATCATCATACCATATAAAAATAAAATGAAAAATAAATTAATTACATACAAAATAATAGTTAATAATAATAATATTTAAATACTATTACTACAATTATACAACAAAATACCCAGTGTAGTCCCAAAAGGGGATTCGGGGAAGATAGAGTGTACGCAAACATTACCTCTACCTCAAAGGTAGAAAGGCTGTTTCTATTTAGCATCATGTTTTTTTTATTTGGACATTTTCTTTTTTTTCATCACCATTCACCAATGATTACTCAAACTCTAAACTCCACCTATGTAAGCTTTGCAAAACATATCCAATACCAAATCCGCAATAAAGACAGACTATCATGAGTTACTAATGTGAAAATACTCGAACTACTTGAGTTTTCAAAATTTTGAAATTAATCGAACTCGTTAAGCATTAACATGGATTAGATTAGCGTTTACCTATTTTCACAAGTAATCCATACTAAACCATATATAACCGCACATTAATTTTACATATTTTTTACATATAATTGTCAGCTTGCTAGATGTTCACACTTCTCAAAGCAATAACTAAATGAGCAAACACTATATATACAGTCATAGTTGGTCAGAACATAGATTTAATAAAGGCAATTCACTCATTTGAATGAATACTCATTCAACTTATACTTTGAGCTGTTTGGACAACTTGCGGAAAGATTTTTTTGGAAACAAAAAGTTGTGTAAAATAGTGCAGCTAATAGAGATATCAAATATGATGTCATCTCATGTGAATACACAGTAACTTATAAGTGCGCTGGATAAGATTTCAATAATGATATCAAAACAGAATGGAGAGAAAACAAGACGAATCATACCGGCAGTACATGATGAGCTGGCAGAACCTGCTGAAACTATTGCATCTGGAGGCAAGACATTCTGCCGTGTAAAAACATCAACTCGTCGAGGAGCAAACTCGTCCTTCTGTTCTCGATGACCAAGCCTGTAATCCAAAAAAATCAAACATTTCATGTTTATTATAATAAGGGCCCAAAAAGAGCATGGAAAGCCAAGGCGGTTCAACAGACGTCCATTAACATAGATCTGAATATGCAAATATGAAATAGGATGTACGAACCTCCCATAACCGCCAAATCCCCACCTAAGATATGATTGTCAAAACAGAGAAAGAACAAATTAGCTTCTGTACACAGGGTAAAGTCCATACAAAAGAGCTAAGGTGGAACTTACGTGTAAACATATCCACTCTTATCCACTGCAACTGAAATCCAGAAAAAAAGAAGGTAAATGCACTTGACATATCTGAAAGATGACAATATACAAATTTATTAAAATGAAGTTAAGATGAACCTGTGTGGTTTGTTCCACAAGCAACTTTGACAATAGTCTCTCCAGAAAAGGCAGCTATAGGTCTAGGTCTGGGTTGAGCTTCATAAGCTAGCCTTACAGAGCTATCTTTGGTATTATACTGCATGTTACAGGGCATCCTCAAATCAATCAAACAAGGCAACAACTCCCAGTTCAAATTTAAAGATAACACTGTGTGAACGCCTTCATTACAACAAGTTCCAAATTTATACGTCAAGGGTATTGTCATGGAAGGGCAAAATAGTTTACTATCGTCTTCCCAATTTGGTGCATTTACATTTAGGTTTCCACACTTAATTTTGGAGAAATACTAGACCAGATATCATCAGGAAACAAAAGAGTAATATGAAGTATAAAAGCACTCCACTATGAAGGAGAACAAAACAACGTTTCTTTTAGGAATAGGAAAACACTGATTATTTTGTGGAAAATGTGCTATCCACAACGCTTATCACCTACATGCTTCAGATTGGCAAGAAGCGTAAGTAAATAGAAATTGGAAAAGCAAGGAAACAAGAAATGGAAAAGGCAGAAACATGACTATATTAAGGTCGTTTGATACGGCAATTAGGACCCGACATCAGCATGTATGGATCATGTCATGCAATACATTCCAAAAGATCAATAGTAAAAAATAAATGAAGTTCTGCAAATATCCTCCAATGATGCTGCACAGACACACGATAGAGGCGTTTGTATCCCTAAATATTTTGCCTGTTTAGTGCACCAATATCTCCAGAACTTTATGTTCATAAAGCGCAAGCTCTTTTTAATGGAACACCTTGCTTCATAAAATATAAATACTTCATGTGCCTAAAGCAGGAAGAAATCAAAGCTGAGGGAGAAATATAGAAGTCAGTATTCAGAGGTAGGATCTCATTTGATAAAAATTTCCACACTCTATTAGCAAAAAGAACAAGTGCATACTGTTGCAATGGACAAAAAGGCATTGAACAGAACACAAGATAGATGGGGGACGATAACAACTATACTCATCCAATTGCCTGCTAATTGTGATTTCAATTTATGTAGAAGTATCACAGAAGCTGCATCACTATCAATCAAATTGAACAGATGATCTTCTCATGACATATTGTTACCGATAGGTAATATTGCAATTTGAGATTGTTTAATTTGTTATACAGCATGTAGAAGTCTAGAACTTCCGATAAATAACAATAAAATATTGGAAGTCTTTGTCCATGTCACAGAAGATAAACTAAAAACTTTTTCATGAAGTGTACCTCGTTGTCAGTAGCATGACCAAGCTGACCATACTGAGGCAAACCAGCAGTTCTAGAAGACACGAATAGCATGAAAATCAGAGTGCAAGAAAAGTTAGAGATGAAAACGCCACTGCCAAAATCTTTTATTTTTACACAGCATTATCAATGTAATAGAAAGTAAAAACTTTACAAACCATACAATATAGAAGCTCCTTCAACTGAGGTTAGCCACACAGTAAAGTCAGCCCCACAAGCTACAGAGTTGACTTCAGTGACGGCACACCGGACTGGAGATAATTCAGTTTCTGCAACAATACAAAAAAGAGATGATCTTAGTTTGTTTTATAAATGAAAGAAAAAATAAGCCAAGACAGAAGAAATTAGTGGACTAATATTTCTAGGAAATAAAGACAACGTTGCTTAAAGCAAATTCTTGGTTCCATCCTAAACTAGCTCATTTTTTTTTTCACTTGGATCCTACACTAGCTTACATAATAATAAATTTATTGTTCTTCCCTACACTAGATTAGCTTTGTTAAAGGTTTGTTCAAAGCATGCTTAAACCTAGAAACTTGGTGAAAACCAGGTTGTGCCCTTAGCCTCACTTAATTGGTACTTTAGTGTAGGCGTCAAGGTGCAAAAGTGTGTGTTAATTCCAGATAGGTTTAAGTATCCAATACATGTGCATCTAGGTTTTTCGTAACTTTGTATAAATATGATGAATCCACACACTTGTTTCTCCCGTTTTGACTTGAGTTATAAAACAAATGAAGGACCCATTTGACCTAGGTCATATCTGAAGAAAAATGCATGATCAAAGAGGGAGATGAAATAATGTGCATGCAACTGAGACAACAACAATTTGAATACTAACAGAAGGTCTTCTCTTTTGATGCAAGTGAGTCAGAAACAGAGAAGGTAAGGAGCAACAGAGGATAACAAAGGAGCTCACCATTTTTTACAGAGCCTATACCGAGCTGCCCATGTTTATTCCAACCAAAAGCAAAGGACTGTCCGTCATCTGTAACTACCACTGTGTGGTTCTTTCCAGCTGCAGCTCTAATAATTTTGTACCTGGAACAAAAAAGTTTTAAGTGATGCCAGAGATAAGTACTTGATAGACATAATTGCTTCAGGAGACATGGGCTAACCATTCAGGAAATATAAGAAGGATATTGAAAGAATTTCTTACTTCTAGACACAAAATCTCAGTTCTGAGTTAAAAAAACAAACATTACTGTCCATCAGAATATTCACCATTATAACATTCTTTTCTTTCCATCTCATTTTAAATGTACCCTAGAAGTATGCATTGCCCCAAGGCTTTGGTCAAGTGATAAGAGCACAATGACAAAATAAAATAAAAAGGTAAATTCTTTTTCTTAAAAAAAAGAGAGTAGAAAGATGGGATCTTGTCTCAATGTTTTCAAGAAAAAGAGAATCAAACAACTATAAGAAGAAAAAAGAGGGTGAATTTAGGATTTTAAGAAGTGGATACGGCATAACTATGCACCCTTTACTCCTTTGTGGTATGAATGATTTGAACCTAATATATATTTTGAAACTTTTACTACAATATCTGTCACTGATAGAGGAACAAAACCAAGAAAAAACTTACTTAGATAGTTCTGAAACAACCGTTGGTCTATCACGTGTTATGTTATCTCCATGACCAAGCTGCCCTTTCTGCAAAGTCACAACACACTTCAGATTCCCTACATCGAGAAAACAACACAAAAAGGGACAAAAGAAAATAAAAACGAACACAGACAACACACTTGCCTCATTCCTTCCCCATGTATAACAACGACCTTCAGTATCTAGCGCTACACAGTGACAAGAAGCTGCATTTCCACCAAGAATGAAAGTAAGCAATCAAAAAGGGAAGTCTTCAATCACATTATGGAAGCGTTTAGCCTTGAAAATTGTCAGTATTTGAAAGAAAAAAAAAGAGTAGTTTTTGGAGTTGTGTTTCACCATGAACACAAAATGGAGTTGTTTTTTTTACTTATTTAAGTATTTTGAAGTGAAAACAACTTTTCCGTGTTCTTCAAATTCCGGAATTTTACGGCCAAACTTTAACTCATGGCCAAAATCCCCCATAATCTCACAATAAAGATGATAACTTTAAATTGGGTTACGCTATACGAATCCACAACATACATTTCACAACATTTTTGAGCTCTAAACAAAACCAACAAAGTATACAACTAAGAAAAAATAATCTGAAAAAAAACAAGCAGAACAGAGCATACCGCAACCAGCAGCAACAAAACAAATGTCGACACCAACAAGCGGACGAAGCCTCGTCGGCGACACCAAATTCCCCTCCGTCAAACCTTTCCGGCGACCAACAGAATCCCAGCAAGTACTTCCACAAAACAACAACTCCCCACCTTTCACCACCACCACTTCCGACATCTCCGGCGAACTCAACGGTCAAAAAATTCAAAAAAAAAGTTTTTAAAAATCAGATCTTGCTAAACCTCAACGTCAGTACCACAAAACCCACAAAAATTAGTGAAAAAAACAGAGATTTGTCAGTAATCGGCGGCAAAAGAAGTTTTAGTAGGAAAACATCTGAAACCCTACAAAAGCATTGAGAGTTATTAAAAAGAAGATTTGTTTTGTGTATTCCGAGAATGTGAGCTTTTTATTGGTTTAATAAATTAAAAGATATAAAATTACGTGAGTGCAAAATATAAATACCAACTGGTGGAATGGATAATTACTACTACTACTGGCTTTTTTCTTCTTTTTTTTTCTTTTTACTTGTATTATTCGTTTGGTTATAGATTTTGAAACAAAATTTAAACAATTATATTTTAAAAATTTACTGAAATTTTATAATGTTAGAGATTTATAGAATTGTGTGTAGTAGGGTTTAAGGTTCCCGCGGGTTTGGTCTGTTAAAGAATTTCGAGGTATTCTTTATTTGAAAAGAAGGTATATGCTTTTATTTTGTACTCTTTGGTCATTATCCATATTCTTTTTTTCTTTTTTCTTTTTTTTTGGAATTATCTCTTGGACATTTTCTTTATTTGTTTATTAGAACTTAAAAATTATTATGAGACTTTTTTCATGTGATTAACAACTAAGTAGAGGTTTTTCAATAGGTTGTTGAAAAAATAAACATAATATCTAAGTATCTCTTATCTAAAATAATTTCGAGTTCATATTATATAAGTCATAGATTCGACTCGTGGTGATGCAACTCTTGTTGCAAGATGCTTTGGGCAACTATCTGCTTTTCTGCAACTTTGACTACTTTAATTTTTTCTTTTTTTATTGAAGATGAGGGAAACAAGACAGGGTATGATCTTTTTGTCTGGTTGTGCTAGTCCCATTGAACCAATAATATGGTGAAGTGGCCCAAATTCATAGAACTACTACTTTTTATGAGTTATAGTCCACACTAAGCTCCCTGATCGGAGTTTCGGATCAGAAGGGTTTATTGTATGCAGATGGATTTTATATGAGTTATAGTCCACACTAAGCTCCCTGATCGGAGTTTCGGATCAGAAGGGTCTATTGTATGCAGATGGATTTTATACTATGCAAGTGCAAATTAACAGCCAGACAAAAGGGCTTCAAGTTCCCTTAGAAGTAGAGAACAGTATAGGAGAAAACATTGGCACCACAAAGTTTGACTCCAATTTATTGATACAGTCATTTCCAAAGAACAAAATAATGATTCACTACATATAGTATAAATTGTAGCCAGACACACATAAGAAACTTATATGAATATAATACTATCTGAAAGCTTAGTTTCTCACTGTTTGTGCGTAGCATGTAAGACCGATAATTGAAGTAATAAACTTTTAGGCTTCATGTAGAGATAATCTTCACCTCCTCAAAGGCTTTAATCTTCGCCCACTAGGCGGATGCAGGTGTTGCTGAAGCCGCAGATGCTTTACCAACAGATAATTGTTGCATTTGACTAGGCTGCTGACGCTGCATCTGGAATATATTATGCTTCACTGGTGTCTGTTGTGTCATGTTATTAGGCAACCGTCCTTCCTCCCTATGTTCCCCAGCAGCAAGCTTTAGACGTTGGACTTCTGCAGTTAATGCCTCATGCAGAGCTGCAGCGGAAAGCTAAAGTTATGAATATCCATCTTTATGGGTAGGTGCATCAGATGTTCACATAGTATCAGCATATCTATATGTCTTGAATGTCGAGTATAAAATGTGATTTGGACATTGTCCCTGGTCAATCCAAATGACTAGAACAGTATAACTTGTCCTTCCTTCAGATTAATATAAATGTATCCTGAGATAATCAAACAAACACAGGCAAACCTGCTTTTTGGAAAATATAATGTTTTTCAATAGGAGATACTGATGTTGTGGAACTGTTTAAGAAAATCATGCCTCCTGAGTAGGCCAGCTAGTTACTGGTTAGAATCAAATATTATTACTGAAACAGGTACATCAAATATTTTGGTTATCTGGCTCGGGTTTTTCAGTGCTCAGTGAGGGATATTGAAATTTTCACATTGCTTACATTTTGAAATTTCCAACCAACCAAACAAAAGTAATCAAAGAGATATTGATTGTGCATCATTTTCACATATCATTGAGTTATTATTGTGAACTTGGGTCCCTAATTATTTTCCGTTTATCTCATAGGCTTCCCTGACACGAATAGTATGTTTCCTATTTGGCTTCCTTCAGAGTATTCTTCGCCTATCTTCACAGATCTAAAATGGATTTCTACCATCTCTCTCCCCGTCTTCCTTCCAGCAGGCCATAGTCCTTCTCCCCCTATTTTCCCCTTTCAAAGGCTCTATATGCCATTGTAAACTAATTTATTCTTCTCTTTTTGCACCTCACATAAAAGTACTTCACGAAACTGATCTACTTAATTATGAGTTCACGGGAACCATTAAAATTCCCTTCCTCCCAAATTCTTCAAACAATAGCAACAAATTCAATATGTAGAAGGCTAGAACCATGAAGCTCAAATCAGGCCAAGTTCCAAGCTTTTCTTTTTATAAAACTTAAATTTGCAAACTTCTCTTTCTATAAACTAATTATCCAGCTGTATTCAGTAAACACCCAATTATTTCCAAACTTCTCCAAGTTTGATGAATTTAATTTTAAGAGGTAAAAAAAAACATTAGAGTATATTCTAATTTAAAACGATTATACTATGGAACATATCTTATTTTATTCTAGATACCTTTTTGCAACACACTAGGGACTTGGAAAACAAAAGAAAAAAGAAATTGGAACGGTAATACCATCTCTAAGCTGTGCCTGTTGCTCCATGGCTTGGATGCGGAATTTCAGCTCACTGTTCAGGCTTGAAATCTCAACAAAATTTTTCTGTAACAAGAATGAAAATCCAGTAAACAGACTGAAGTTCATAAAAGAACTATTGAAGGTACACCACAATATTTTCTACAGGCACCTGCAGGATTGTAACTTGTGTGGATAAGGTAGTTGTTTCTGTCTGTAGCTTTTGAACCTTGTGTTCCAATTCTGAGATGTAACGTGTTTTTCGCTCCTTGGATCGAGCAGCAGACAGACGATTAGCCAAAATCCTGAGGAAAGAAACTATCAGGTACAATTGTATATGTAGCACCCTCCTTATATATATTTTTTCAATTTTTCATGGATAACTCAAGTTTATGCTTCTTAATGGGATACAAATATAAACTAGAATACATTAGCATCTATTTCCATACCTTTTAGCACGCTTGGGATCTAAAACTGCAATCTCAGCAAGTCTTTCATCTGCCATAATCTTCTTCATCTCAGCTTCACTAAATTCAGAATTTCCGAAGTCAAGATTGTGCTTGCTCGAACTTTCATTTCCTGAATTACTTGGTGAAAGCTGACCGGAACGCATCATCAGAGAAGTTGGTAAATTTGGTGACTCATCGCCATAGTGAAAATTTCCAATAGCACTATCCATGGAAAGACTCCTAAAGTGACGTGCAGCTGGAGCAATATTCGCATCAGCGCTCCTCTTGGTTCCTTCCCTTAAATTTGTTGGTTGGATACTAACATTATTCCCTTTCATAACACTTTCTGCTTCATTATTGCTGCTCTCAGAACCGGTTACCTTTGTCCCACTGACAATGCTGTCCTTATCTCTGTCCTTCGTGCCAGAACCGTTCAATGTCTCTATATTTTCCAAATTCATGTAGGAAAACAACAACTCATCTGTAACCTCTCCCTTTGGTTTCCTCTCATCAATCTTTCCATTGCTATCCCCAAGACTCACTGCTCTCCCTAAAACCTTCTGACCACTTATAGGCATCAACTGAGGTGAAGACTGAATCATAGCCGAGAATCCCAATGGAACATCACTATTAGATCGACGATGCCCCTTCCGAGGAGGAAGACCATCCCTCGTAAACGAAGACACAACTCCTACACCTTGAGAATTCACATCTGCTTCCTCCATGGATATATCTTTCAAGCTAGAATGACCCGACACCATCCCCGGCTCACTAGGAGGAAAAGGACTCAATGGGGGCAAACAACTATTCGAGAAAATACTCGATTGAGATAACGACCTCACATGAGATACAGCTCCAACACCAAAATTCTGACTACTCATAGGTGGCTTAGAATTAGACTGAGCCATCAAAAATCAACAAATAAAACCCGCAAAAGATTCAATTTTTCCGACACCCCAAATGCTATTTCTTCGTAATAATCAAAGAACTTCAGCAATTCTCATTAAATAAATCAAAATTTCAGCTCCCAGCAAAACCCTAAATAGAAAACTCCTTAAACCCACCCAAAAAAAAAACTGTTTCAACCCAATCCAATTCAAACAAACACAAAACCCCAAACAACAGATGAATGAAAAACAAGATTGAGAAAAGCAGAGCAAGGAAGAAAACGGAGTACCTGAAAGTTTATAGTCAAAATTTAAAGGAGCTACAGTTGAATATGATGAGAGACAAACGTGCAAACATTGATGAAAGTGAAGTTGTGGGGGGTGGGGTTATAGGGGAAAAAATGGGATTTTGGAGAGAAGGTGAATTTCCCGCTGAAAATGGCGGTGATTACGGTTGAATTTGTAAGAGAAAATGAAAATAACTTGTACTGATATGAAAGAGAAGAGTAGAGAAGAAGTGAAAGAGACAAAAACTTTGTCTTTGCACACAACAAACTATATTTTATAAGTGTGATTTGGAAAAAAAAATAAAATATATAAATTAAATTATTGAGATGGTTCAAAATAAGTAATTTTTTCAAAATTTAAAAAGATTATTAAATTTTTTTCTATTTTTATCCTTTTTAGTGATATTTTTAATTACTTTATAGTAATATTTAGAAGAAGAATTTAGAATGCTTAAAAAGGTAATTATGAAAAATATTATTCAATTGTGTCCTTAACAATCTTTTTAAAGATTTATGTCATTTCACATTAACTTTTTTATGGATTAGAGAAAATAATATTTACTTTCTCTTTCATTTTAAAAATAATGAAATAGCATAACTTAATATGAAATCTTAGTTCTCATTTTTATTTATATGTTTAGATTTTACTAGTTGCTTAAGAAATTAGATAAATTTATTATTATATTTTTATTTAGTTTCTCTTAAAGTCAAATCGTCAATTGAAAATGAATTAATTCATTTTAATTAATCAATTTGATTAATGGATATGAAATATTTACTAATTTTTTCTATATTGGTCGTTATATATTCTCAAAGCTAATAACTTTCGAGGATAAAATACAAAGTATAGTATATTTTATATATGATTTTGTAAAATGACAAATATTAAGGTGACATATAAATGGAAACGTAAGAAATACTCTTTTATAGTCCTTAATTATATTTATGTCGATATGTTGAAATACTATTTAATCTTGCAATCCTTAAAATACTACAAAAGGCTTAAATTAGAACATTATAAAAAAGAAAAGAATCATTTTTTAAAAATAAACTAAGACGAAAACGATACACGAAAAATATATATAGATAATAACAAAGAATAAAGAAAAAATAATGTAATAATCAATAATTAAAAATAAATAAAATTTTATGAGAATAAATGTATGATAATTAAAAGGACAAAAACTTTGTATTTTACATAAATAAATTAAAAAAATGACGGGCCGTTTTATATCTAAGTGCAACAATGCTACGCTCTACGACAAAAACAGGATTTTCTCCGATGTTGACTTAAGATTTGACATTTTTTTATATATTTTTTGTTTAATTAATTCATATTTTCAGATTTTGGTCCACTAATATCAATTCGTGTCAGGTAAAAATTGTTAAAGTAATAAAGTTTCCAATAAAATAATTCTAATTATGTTGTTTAAAGTCGTTTGTACATATCTTTGATTAATTTATCAGATTATTTATATTACATATTAGTCTCATGATTTTTTATCTGCTTAGATTATCAAACTTCAGATTTCGTGACTTTCAACTTAATTTACTGATTACTAAGGCTTGATTTTTAAATACAAATGATTTTTGTTCATCGTTCACGTCATAACTTGTTAAATTTAGATTTGCGACTGTTTGCAACAAATTTTAAACATATGGAAAATAAACAAATCATACAAATAAAATATGAAGAAACGTGATTTTATTCTTCAAGATTGTGAGTACAAATCTGTTCCTTCCTTGATTCTACTCTCTAAGATGATTTATCCATAATTCGAGGGTCGTTAGTGGCGTATTTCTCGAACTAGGATGATTTTGATTTGACCTCTCTATATGAATAATCCATCAATTTATGGAGTATTCGAGATCTTAATCTCTTTGTGGATTTTTCGAGATGCCTTTTAAGGGAATTTAGTACCGTTTATATAGGCAATATCTAGGGTTTAGGGTTGAGTAGCCTCCAAGAATCCTTATCTGAGTTGAACACAATTTGTAGAGTCTCAACTCGAATTGAACGCATCTTATAGAGTCCTACAAAATTTCAATGTCTACAGTGACATGTATGCGACGTCCACCAATAGAAAAAAGTACTGATAAACTTTTAGATTAGTTATCTTTTGAAAAAAGTAACGTAAATTACACTTAAGATGAATCACACGTTAAAATAAAATACTTTCTAAAAAATTAAGATATAGCATAAATTTAAATTATACACAAACTCAATCATAGTGTAATTTTAAGAAATAAATATATAAAATAGCGAATAATACGTAACATCAGATTAGACATTGATGATATAAAACTCGTGAAAAGTGTTTTAGCTTTCATTTTGATAACTCATTTCATTGGCAACTAATTATAATTTTACTCCGCTCAAATGGTGTATGAAATTATGCATTTATAGCCGGCCCCCCAAGTCAAAGTTTACTATGTGGGATCTATTTTGACTAATTTTGTGGAATTTCACTTTTGCCAATTGGACAATTGTAAAGTCCATCAATCATTGACATTATCATCATATTTTGTAAGAGAAAAAAAGGGAGAAAATGTGTTTTTCGAACTAATAAATTATAATTTAGATATAAAATTCACATTTTTATTGGTTTGCGTATGAAACTCAAGAAAACGAAATAGTTTAATTGTGTTTTTCTTGCACTTCACTCAATCTAAATGGACTCTCAATTTGTGTGTTTGAAGCTTAAGATGTAAGTTTAGACTGAAGAAAGACTCAGATGATGATTTCATTGCAACTCTTAAAAGCACAAAGAGAAAGAAAGCCTGTTGATGTTTCTAATGGCTTAGATGAGAAATTAAATACTCTGTTACATGCATTTCAATTTCTCCATTATGTAAAAATTGACCTTTGTTCTCTCATTTTCTCCATTGTGTTTTTCCAGGCTCTAAACTTTGAATACAATTAAAAAAAATGTATCTCAAACTTCATTCATTGCCCTTAAGAAATAGGGGCCAGACAGGAGCTTAATTACTTCGAGTATTTATGACTCTGATGGCAATACATGACCGGTGAATCTTAGCGCAAGCACTAGAATAGTTGAAAAATTCTAAGTAAACAATTGATATGATACAATCAATATAGAAGAAGTTCAATCTTTTATTAGGTCAAATTCTTTCATAAAAAATTTGAGTTGGTAGACAGTGGATAGTGTGTTAATTGAACAGCTGGTTTTCTGGACATGAAATAACGTTTATTAATCACTTTTTCGACGATAAAGTATTTTTTTCGGTCATGTCTTTAAATGACTTGTTTTTTTTAGCCATAATAGGTTTTAATTCTTCTGTTTTTATTTAGTTTTTCACCTTGCTTTCTTTCTTTGAAAGGTCAACAGTTATTCATCGTTTATTTTCAATGTTGACTTTAAGAGTATGTTTGGATTAACTTCAAAGTTGGTCAAACTCTATTTTAATTCAGTTTTTAATTTTTTGTGTTTGATAAATATAAAGTTTAAAAAATGACTTAAAATAAATTATAAAGTATTTTGCAAGATTAAAAAATAAGTTAAAACAAATTTAAAATGACTTAAAAACTCTACTTTTCTCACATCTATATATTGTTACAATTGAATTGCTTGATTGTTTTTATAAAATCAAATTAAAAAGTGCACTAATGGTATATTATTATATAAACTACTGTTAAAATTTTCTATTAAAAAGTATTACTATTTGAAAATAGATTTAAGTGAGTATTCTAATTGTACTATCATTTTTCACTCGTATAATATAACCCAAATTAATCAATATCATAGTAATTGATATTAAAACGATGCTTTTTAAATCTAATTGTTTAATATCTAAGTCAAAACTCAAAAGATTTGGAGAAAAATTTTACAAAGACAAAATTTAAATTAAAGTGAATTATACAAAACTAAGAAGTAGAAAACAATACAGATTTAGTTACCAACAAATGCAATCATAATTAAATCAATCGTATTTTTTATAAAATAGAAATTTAATAAAAATATGCACATAATAATTGAAAAAAATTATTAAAAAGATTTTAATTAACACTAATAAGTAATAATCAATACTCCCCCCTTTGTCTACCTCATACAACCCACTTTTTATAGCCCATTCCAAAAAAAAAACATTTTTATAATAAATAAAATTTTAATTTTAAAATATCTATATTACTTTAAGATATTTTTTTAATCACTCAGTCAAACGGTATCATATAAATGTTATAATCTCTTGGTCAAATTATCATATAAATTAAAACAGATGAAGTGTGCATTTATAGTCTCTTGGTCAAATTACCATATAAATTGAAACAAATAGATGAAGCGTATATATATATATAAGTTATAACTATATTTATGTTTATACTAATTATAACACAATTGAGCCGTCCCTTGTCTCTCTAATGGCTAATCATCAAGAATTATCTGAAATAGCAGCACAATGTGCTGCTATGACGGAATTAGAAAGAGAAGTTATGGATATTCTGTTAAGTTTGCCGGAGCTCATAGCTGATTTACGCGTTTATGGCGTAGATCAGCTAATTGCTTGGGGCTGGAAGAGACGGAGGTCAGCCGTTAATTATCCTCGAACTCCATTACCGTCTCCTCAATCTTCTCCATCTCCTCCACCGCGAGATAATTGAAGATTTTTAAATTTAGCGTTACATATAATACTAAGGTTAACGCGATCGATCATATTGTTCATGCTTAGTGTTCTTGTTGAATTATTATTTGTATAACTTATAAAAATATTTAAACAGTTTAAATTTAATTTACGTTTTTCTTGTAGTACTTAGGGATTGTACGTTTACGTACATTCTTACAAAATCGTTTTATATTTATCCTTTGTCTGTAATGAAGCTTTAACATGAATGAGACAAGTAAAAAAAAAACCCTAATTTTTATTGAGTTTGAGCTAAAGCTATTAGTTTCACTGCCGTGTTATTATTTGGAAAGGAAAAATAAAGGTAAAATTAAGATATTTCATGCGATTGATTTTTATTTATAATTTCCTCTAAATTAATTAGTTTGTAGAATGTACAACAATTAGAACAGTTTTAATAGTTGGTAGATTCTCTTGACTAGTTATTTATTTATTGGATGATTAACTTTTAAACGATTTAATTAATTTGTGTTAATTTTATGTAGGAGCAATATAGGAAGGAAATTATTGAGTTAATACAGTGGAAAAAGGAGTAATACCAACAGGTTTTTTTTTGGCAAAATATTATTATAAATTTGAAATAATTATAGAAAT